ATGCAACTTTAGTTTATGCAGTAGGCCATCATGCCATACTCGGTCAAATGCTTGTGCTACATCTAAGAAGATAGCAGAGCACACTTTCTTATGCTCAAGAGAATTTTCTATGACGTCAGTGATTCGGTGTACTTGGTCAATCGTTGAATGTTGACTACGGAACCCAAACTGATGCGTTAGTATTAGGGGGTATTTTTCAATGATTACTTGCAACCTTTTCAGAATCAGTTTTCAAATAATTTTGACATGATTGGTAGGAGTGAGATTGGGTGATATGATTCTACTTTAAGTGACTTTTTGCCAGGTTTTGGAATCATAATTACATCCGATACTTTCCATTGTACCGGTACATATTTTAGTCGGATCGACGCGTTGATTAATGTAGTCAATTTTACCAAGGATTTTCGTTGCATTTTCTTTAGTATTGTACCTGTGATCATATCAAAACCAGGTGCTTTGTTCGGGTTTAGGTTCGTTTTAACTTCTTGACTGACTTCTTTTGTTGTAACTAGCGGAATTGGGTCCAACTAGTAATTTCGAGTTAGGTTAGGCAGTTTATCCACCCCGGTATTAGGCAAAAATATAGTCTCGAGGTGTTCCGCAAAGATCATTGCTTTATCGTTGTTAGTGCGAGCCCATAGTCAATCAGTTTTTTTGGATGGGTGGCACTTGTGTTACAGGGCGCTTTAAGTATTTTGTTGCTTTTGCGGTTATTTAGTTAGTAGTTAAGTTGCTGCGATAGTTGTTGATTGAAGAATTTTTCAATGCTGCAATCTCTCTTCTGAGTTGTTGCGCGTATCTGTTTAGGATTGTTTTGTCGCTTGGTGCCCGTTTTTAATGCCAGCGCCTTCTTAGTTTTCGTTTTACAGCAATCATATCTCTAATTTCTTTCGGGAAGTTGAGTCCCTTAGATTTTGTTTTAATAATGTGGTGTGCTGTTCCAGGCGGCCTGTTGTATGGCTGTAGTAAAATTGTACACTTCATCCTCTAATTGTTCAGTCGTCTTGAGGGGGATATTTAGTTTAATATTGGTCTCCAGGAGAATATTGAAGTATTGCCAGTCTGTATATTTGTTTGTCAAAACTGTGCTTTGGCCTTTTGTAATAATATGTTTGCTGATCCTTAATAGAAGTGGGGAGTGGTCGGAGTTCAAGTCGTATCCTTCATCAATTTTTATATAGTTTTCTGAAATGTTTTTGGCTACAAAAAAGTCAATCAGATCTGGGGTTTTGTTTGGGTCGGTTGGCCAGTATGTGGGTTTTCCAACTTTCCAAGTGATGTTGGATTTAGTGAGATTCAGGCACAAAGTTTTCAGGCGAAGCATCAGAATGTAAATCAGTTTCCTCTTCTTCAGCGTCACTTTGATGAATTTTTCCTCTAGCAGCCATTGTTTTTGTGTTTTCTATGGTGTTTGGAACGTCAGGATAAGCGTTTTGGTATTTCTATATGTTTGTATTTTTATATTGATCCGATAGAGCTTCTGAACCCTGGGGCCTGCTCTAATTTTATCCGCCTATATGGTTGGACTTATGTATGTGTTAAAAGTTCGATAGTTAGCTTGTGAGGGACTTTGCAAATATAAACGCCTACAGATAGAGCTATCGAAGCCTTCAACGAAATTCATTTAATTTGAAAATCAAACAAGCCGTATTTTTTAAATCGTATTCATTTAACAGAGGGACTGGTTTGTTAGCCTCCAGATCACTATGAGCAAGGACTCTGAATACATCGACAAAAATACAAAACCAATAAGCAATTTTTTCAATGAAATAATAACTAGATAAGCATATTCTATGTACCTGTGAAGATTCCCAAGCTAACTGATTCCATTCCTTCTGAGAAACATCGCCTTGAGGTTTAACCGGAGGCTTTCGACGCAAATGTGCTGGCAGATTTGCATTTTCCCTTTCCCATTTCTGTAAGCAAATGAACATTTAATTATTGATAACATACGCAAGCAATCATACAACACAAATTATGTGGCAATTAAAACTTGTTATTAAGACAAAATAAACGCAGCCTATTTAAAAGCACGCATTTTCAGGTGAGAAAGGGGATTACTCTCTTTTGAAAGCATGCACTTGTAATTTTATTTCTTCACCAATCAATCTTACCTCATGCAAGGCATGGAAAGTGAAGTGTTCCATGCTTGCATGAGCGGTTTGTTTAAAAATATATTTTATTATAGCTGAAAGTTCTAGATTTCGGGTAGTGGTTCCGATTTGGCTCAGTTTTAATGCAACTCTGTAGTTTTAGCCTCAAAATGAGCTCTTGAATGAAAAAATCGGTACAAGAATTAAGATATTAATCGCTGCAAGCCCAAAAAGTTGTTTTTTTAGATCAACCTGTGACTAAATGAAATAGGCGAAAAAATCCGAGAATTTTTCGCAATATGGAGTTTATTTTTAGGTCTATGTTGAAATAACCGACATGTTTCTGTGTTCAACTGGGAGTATGCCGACCTTTCCCAAAATTTGAATTGTATCCATCTGAGATACTTAATTTTTGCAAGCCACGGATTCACAGAAAAATAATTGGATAATCAAGATAACACTTAACACAAACAGAGCAAATTTAACCGTGAATCTTATATTTTATTGACCAGCTTAGACAAGAACCGCATTTCTATTTAAAAATGGAAGAAAAGAATTAAATTGAAAAATTCCTTTTCAAAGAAAGAGTTAATTAAAAAAAACATGATGGGAAAGCAAATAATGCGTTTGAGAATTCTGATAATTAACTGTTGCATCTAAACTACCTCAATCGCCAGCAGTATTTACAGTGTGAGTTTGATTTCTCTATTATTAATTTAAAACCTTTTGTGTGTTTTAAACCCGTTAGTTTACTTTAGAAGACTCTTGAAAATTTTCCCACTATTTCAAGCTGATCGAACACTAAAGAAAATACGCTTAAAGTAGGTAACCTGGGCTATATTTAGTGTGTTATGAACGGACGATTGTCGCAAGAAACATAAAAATAAGCGGGTCAGTCCAAACTCTGTTTACTCTACGAATTGGGAACAAACCAATACGTTATATTACACCCCACCTCATTTGAATTAGGATATAAACGTTCTAATATATTCTTCGGCACTCCGTAACAACACCGACACTCTCCCATTTTGCAGGCACAAACTTTTAGATTAATTCACAGAATCGGTAACAATTAATTGCATTCAGGTGCATGCCGATGCTAAACCAAAACAAAAATCGATTGAATAACAGTGTTTTAAGCAATTAAAACTCGTGTCATATTTGCATCCTTGAAACAACCCACGAAGAATTTTCATGCAAATGATCTGATGAAAACAATGATCAATCCTACAACGATTTAGTTAAATACGCTTGAAACAATTTGGACGAAAAAATGCGGTCTTGATTGCTTAATTAAAAATGTGATTAGATAAAAAATGAGTTTTTAAAATCTGGTAGATTTGGTCTTAAAACTGATGAGTTTTTTGGCTTGTATGTCGTGGTAGAAAATAAATTCTTCCTGACGTTTCGCAAGCACGAATTGTATGCATCCTCAGTGGTGGTTCGATCGAAAGCTTTCACTGGAATCATGCAATCCACTAGCACTTGTGAAACGTTTAGAAGAAATGTTTTTCTACCACCACTGAAAAACTTGAAAAGCTCATCGTTTCAGAGTCAATGCAGATGAGTGGAACCAAACAATAGGACATGGTTATTTTTCAGCGTCGATTGACAATGGGAGAAAATTTCTTGATTGCTTATAACGCCCCCGGATCCTCGTTATCTTCGTCTGTAGTCGAGGTCTGCATGAAATATTTTTTGTCCGTTGCTTGTATTCACATGAATTCCTACAGTTTACACATACACATTTCCTACAGCCAATATCTCCTGATTTACATTAATTCTTGGAAAATACATAAATTTTTGAACTATTGAAATGCAACTTAACATGTTTTCCACTCGCTCCTTTAAATAAAAATCTAATTTTATTGTAAAAAGGACTTTCAAAAAAAATACTGTAGCTTTGTTACGAATACGAGAAGGCGTACCTATCATTAGTCTTGTCTCTGTTGCCTATCAGTCGTTCCAATCTAAACTCCACATTATGGGAATTTGCATGGATATCAAGAAGGGCATACTTAGAGCTTCCGAATGTAACGAGGGTACGAAACGCAACCCTCAGCTCTGACCTTTGAAGA